ACGAAACGCTTGGGTGCTGTCGGTGCTACTCGCCTTCCAGGATGGGGACCGCGTGATCCTCACTGTGCCTGGTTGGAGACACTACAATATATGGCTGTCAACCGATGTTAGTGGCGTTCTTGTTGTCAGTTTCTATCCAGATTGCCTGAGTTAATGTCTGGAGGTGTAGGCACCTCGGAATGATTGTGTTAAGCTAGCACGAAGCCCCTCTCCCATCCACCTTTATTCTTTGCTTTTCAATAAGTCTTTAAAATAAGTCATGGTTGTACGGCAGTGAAGCATCAGTGTTGAACACTGATGTCATGCTGTCGATGATGATGACGATGATGAGGTGTCCGTGAGGCAATATGTGAAAAAGACGTAACAGCAATTCACTCCCTCAATCGCCGCCTTGAGTGGTGGGCTGAGCACTTCCAAGAACAATCCACCTGGTCTCTTTCAGCACAACCGCTGAAAAAACGAAGCGGGTCCGGACGGAATACTGACACCAACCCACCATCAGAAACCCAGCGCGAGATTTCAATCCTGAAGCGCGACAAGGCACCTGGCCCGGATGGTCTACACTCCGCGCTCTTCAAAGAAGATGACGAGGTCCTTGTGAACAGTCTGACAGCTATACTGTAGAAGATTTAGAACAAAAACAGAATACCAGCCAAATGGAGCTCCTCAACCGTCATTCCAGTTTTCAAAAAGGGAGCAAGAATGTCATGCGAAAGTCATCATGGTATCAGCCTGGTATCCTCTCTGGCATTATTTTGCGAAAATTGATTTCCATCAAGTTTCGCAATTTTAGCTGGAGAGACAGATTCGTGAAAATCAATCCCTGGTCGAGGAAGCATCGACCATATCTTTACCTTGAAACAAATTCTTGAACAGCGCAACTCCTCCAGACGTCACACATTGGTGGTTTTTTTTAGATCTGAAAGCTGCTTTTGGTTCTGCCGATCGTCAGCAACTTTGGCACTCTGGCGATCAAAGGTGCCCCTCAAAATTCCTCTTCTTGATGCGGGCACTGTAAACGAACTCCTGTGGTCCCGTGCGAGTATACGGGAAGGTCTCGCCTGAGTTCATCATATCCAGTGGTATAAGAGAAGGCTGTGCTCTCTCCCCTTTCCTCTTCAACTTTGTCATTGATATGCTGCCTGAAATTTCTCTGCTTTACTCTGAAACCTCGGGAGTCGAAATGCTTCTGAGACGTTCCCTCACAGACATTGTGTGTGCGGACGATATTTCTCTCCTCGCTTCAGATCCTTCCCAAATGCAAACGATTTTAAATAACCTAAATAACTCTGCCGCACGGTTTGGCATGCATTTCACACCTGCAAAGTGCAAAGTGCTGCTACAATTCTAGAAGGGATCAAACCCACACCTCATGCTTGCAGATGAGCCAATCAACGTGGTAGATAAATCTATTTACGTGAGCAGCTGTATAAGTCCCGGTGGACTGGCTGGAGATGATATTATTTCTCGAATTGGAAAGGCCAGAACAGCTTTTGCCAACCTCTGACACCTATGTCGCCGATGTGACGCGAGTTTGTCTATGGTGAGTCTCGCCCCCGAACAAAATTACGGCGGGGAAGCTCAATGAGTTTCATGCATGCACCATCCAGTACAGCACAGTGGATTATAGGGATACAGAAACTGCCATACCGCGGTAAGGTCCATTCCCTTCAGAAGACTCACTTACCGCTATGGCTAGTGTGACTAGCTTCTCTATAGCTGTACAAAGGCAAGCCATCTCTTATAGCCGAACATCACGCCATTTGGACGGGTGTCACGTGCAGAACACGGACCGAACGGATGCATGCCCTGATTGGTCAGAATGCCAGCCAATCCGGATCGAGCATCTTTGACTCGACGACTCTCGCCCCCTCACGGTGCTTCTAGCTCGACCTTGTGGAACACTCTGTGACTACCTTATAAATACAGTTGTAATAATTTTCCTTTGTCTCCATGAAGGGCTGTGCAAAACTACCGTGCCTTTTGATATACCATAGTGGGCGGAGCAGGAAGCCAAGGGACCGATACAGAGTTGCACTACCGTCCATCAGGATACAACAACTGGCAATAACCCGAACCCACGATGTTAATTTCGGAAGAGTAACTTCAATTAATTTTACAGCAGCAACAGAAGCAGTTCGAAGAGGCTCCAATGGGGCTTGTTGGATCTCTGATGCTCAGTATGTCGGTGAACGCGACAAAAACGTTTGAGCCTCCGTCTTCTTCCGCAGATGCTGCTGCCAGGTCGACTACGGATTTCAATTTCGATGCTGAATCTGGACGAACTTTCGAAAGTTGGTTCAAGACATATGAAGACATGTGTCAAACCGACTTTGCTCGGTTTGACGATGCATGGAAAATTCGGCTGTAGCTGCGGAAACTGGGAACAGCTGAACATGATCGGTTCACAAATTTCATACTCCCAAAATTTCCTCGTGACCTTGGTTTTGCAGATACTGACAAAATTCTGGCCCAAATATTCGGTGAGCAAGCAAACTTGTTCAATATTCGTTATCAGTGTCTCAAGATTACCAAAAGGGGTACTGAGGATTTCATCACATATTCCGGTGTGGTCAACAGAGAATGCGAGCGCTTTCAGCTCTGCTCCATGACCGAGGATCAATTCAAGTGTCTCATCTTCGTGGCTGGTCTTCAATCGTCACACGATGCAGATATTCGGACCCGGCTACTGAATCGAATTCAACAGGATCCAGAGTTGGGGTTTCAGAGACTTGTCACCGATTGCCAGCATCTTATCAATCTCAAGGCTGAAGCTGCAATAATTGTGCATTTCAAATTCTCTCAGCCCGGTTCGGCATGAAAATTAACTGCCAAAAGTAAGTCAAATTCTAAATGAACTCCAAGAAAACCGCCCACACCCTTTTAGTATCGTGAAGAATGGCACTATTCACGCCACTATCCCTGCCGGAACCACAGATGCATTAGGTGCAGTCGAAAGGGTCACAAGGAAGAATGCTGGAGAGACAAATTCAAGAGCTCGCGCAAACACCGGCCCGACAAAAGGACGCAGGCAGGTGCCATGACCGCCGCATTCGGGATGAAATCACCCGGTCGACGTAAATTCGTCGCATTGTGCATCAATGGCACACCAGTTACCCTCCAACTGGATAGAGGTCCTTACTTCACTTTGATTGCAAAACAAACCTGGAACGTGTTTGGAAGGCCACCAGTGGAACCAAAAAGTACACAATTCTTAATGCATCTGGTGGAAGCCCCAAACTGGCCGGAAAGCTGAGATGTTCCGTAACGTTCAAAGGGATTCAACTTTGCTACTTGCTACCTTACGAACTATACAGGACTTGATCTCTTGGTCCTCAATTGGATTAATGAGCTTCAACACTTAGATCAACCCCTCAGTGCCGTTTGTAACGAAACAACTGCAAAAGGCCCCAATACATTCACGAGAGCACCACATTCTGACGATTTTGTGGTCGCCAGAGTTGCAGCGAAACCAGAGACCAGAGGGAGTAAACTTGAAGCGATGGCTATTAGCTCCTGGCGTCCGACACGGGCAGCTCTCTCACTTCGGTCAAGTTTGATTGCTCCCGCCACCATCCTGCAACATTCCACCCTCGTTTCAAACTCTCCAGGTTACAGTCGCAGATTCATGCGGATCGTTCTACCACGCTCCGTAAAGTCAAGAAAGGGGACCGGCAGAGGGAACGCCACAACAGTCACACACAGGCCAGACACTGACTAGAGAATATGAGGAATGGTCCCTGTGGTGGACACAGAGTCGAATATGGCAAACACGAGGCAAAAATGAGATCACCAGCACCATCACGTCAAGGCGGCCAACTTCCGACAACAGTCCGCAGCTCCGTAAGAGGAACACGCTACAATGGACAACGGACAGCCTTGACGTACCTCAGAAGTGGAGGGTGCCAGATCCAAGATCGGCATGCTCGCAGCCTTAGGGACGGACCTAAACGCGACTGCAGCTACATGACTCATCACAGTGCAGTTCAAAGCAGCAGTTAGTTGAACAGCTTTCTCAAGGAGAGGTTTACGAGGGCTAGCTGTCCCTAATAAATAAACATATTAATAATAATGTTTCTTCCCAAATTGTGGGTGGCATACCGTCTGGCATGATCATATGGTTACAGTCAGAACGAAGCACAACTGGGGGTTTTGTGAGGGTGCAGAATGCACAAAAAGAGGACAATGTCATAAATAGTGGGGAACATCCGATTAAATGGTAATATTAGGTTTCTTTCCCGACTTGTTGGGAAAAATGGGCATGAGGTCCGACTAGTTGAAAGAGAGCCAGCTGGCATGAACTAAAGCTTAAAACCATTGCTAGCCATGAGTGACCTTGAGCAAAAGTAGCCCGCGCCCTCGACACAATGCATTTTTCTGCAAAACCCCTGCAAGTGAACTAAAAACTCTAACCTCAAAATGTTACACTTCTTTGCATATGTCCTCGGTCCAAACAGCACCCTCATCCACCGTCACTCTTTCGCAATCGCTTTCGAAAATTATTGGCGCACATTCGGTTTTGAACTTGGTGTACTGGGGCTTCGGAAGTGGCTTCACAATCGTTCGTTGAGAAATTTGTGGGTTTATCCTATTGTGCCAAGAACCAGCGGCGCAAAAGTGAAGATGGAGATGGGGTAATTCATATTGGGAGCATATGGCTAATTTTGTCTCAAAAACGTGGTTTAATCTGAAACTAAGTAGACTCACTGGTTGCACTGTTGTAGGGCAATCAGGTGCGTAGGATAGGTTGGATGAGTCAAGTTGCTAATACATAGGGTGACCCGAACACCGCATTTGGATTTGAACTTGTGCAAGAGGCAAGCCGAAATTGCAGCAGAAAAACCAAGCTAGCCATATCTGAGCGAAAATTTATCGGGTACGGAAGAGCTCATCCCAGAGACGGGGCCGGGTGAAAAATTTGCTCGTAGCTATAACTACAGGCCTGAGTATGCGAGGGGTTGCGGTCGAGATTCTGGAGAAAATAGTTGCGGGAATTACATCTCACCGGGTATGACAGTGCCATGCTATCATCACACTGGCATTCTTCGGTTTATGGACAGCCCCGTAACGGCAGTCAAGGATGCCGCGGTCGGAGAAGGGATACGCTGTTCCATGGTAGCTGGTTCTAAGTGAGACGGATAGTGACACAGAGTGACATGCAGATGTGAGCTCATGGATAATTTCCCTTTCGTTGGGGAACCGTGTGAGTGTAGACCGGACACCAGCCAATTTGAATGAATGACAGTTCTAAGGGGCGTTTGGGAAACTGCAGTCGAAGTTCGAAGCTTGGGAAGAGGGGCAACGAGAAAGAAATGGAATGAGAGCAGTAGCGTGTGGCGGGTTTTAGGAGGCATTAGATACAACGGTGTCAATAGAAAAAAATATAAACGGGGATGACAGCAAGCTAAATAGTCCCAAGAAAGGTGAATACGTTTGCTGATTTAGAAGCCAAGTACTACTTGAGCCAGAGTAGGCGCCTAGTTTTGGGAAAGTGAAAACTTTGTCGTCGAGGTAGTTTGCAGGGAGGCTAGCCGTTGGACTAGTTGAGAACGGGCGGTAGTTTTTGGCTCACCAAAGCATCATGACACAGCATCCCTGATGTGCAGAAAGAGGGGTTAATATGAGCAATGAGAGTGGGCAAGTAGAAAGTGGATAAGTAACAGCTTCCCAGATGACTGATAAGAACTGTAGCTCGACTGAGGTCTATTACGTTAACCTAAAAGGAGAGTAACATTAAGGATCATCAGTCGCCTAGTCACTGCTCTCAACTCCAGAAAAAGAATGGTGCATGGCAAAAAACAGCCATTAAGTGCTAGTTGTGACTGCATGTAACAAGGAAATGGTAAGCTGTTAGCATTTTGTGCAAATGATCGCTCTAGATGACAGGAGGGAAGAAGACGTGTGCTACGTTTGGATGATGGAGTAGATTGCGGGGGGTGTGACCCCACTTCGCCGAAAGTGGCAACTCCTTGCACTTCGACGTCAGCCGTAATCCTCACACGGTACTCTCAGTTTGGCTGATGTTAGCTAAATCCAGTCAAAGCAAAGCACCAGACATTAATTAGAGCTGACAGAGTTACACAGGTATGGGACCAGGCTTTAGGAACTAGGACTAATTTGGCTGGGTACAAAACCTTAAGGCCGGAGGAAGGAAATGCGACCAGATCAGTGGAGACGGACTTGACGACAGTTACGACGGCAGGCGCTAGACATTCTCTGCAGTTCGTAGAGCGGAAGATGTAATCACTGGAAGTGAACGTCTGCATGAGAGATAGCTACAGTTGTAAGTTATAGATAAGAACACTTGGGAGGGTGGCTTTCGCACTTGCGGATTGGTGCTAAAGATTCAGGCTGGTAGGTGTAAGTGCTAGGACCTAGTAACGGGACAATCAGGGTGAGTGAACAGATTAGAAGGGCTTAGGGCCTATTTCAAAAAGTTTCCAGTGTAAGCTGAGACGCGAAAAGGCGCTCAGCTCCCTCAATAGAAAGGTAAGAATCGATGGCCTTTCAAAGGCCTACGTGAGATGAGATAGTATGGATATGCGAGGGGAGCTTGTTCCATAGTTTGGAATACAAGCGAAGGAAAAGGTTTTGTCTAAGGACAGCTCGACATGTCGACAGTGAGCGTAAACATTCAGAGTTACGGATATTATAGGGAATACAGGAAAAAAATCAGGGACGGATGTCCCGTGCAGAACACGGACCGAACGGATGCATGCCCTGATTGGTCAGAATGCCAGCCAATCCGGATCGAGCATCTTTGACTCGACGACTCTCGCCCCCTCACGGTGTTTCTAGCTCGACCTTGTGGAACACTCTGTGACTACCTTATAAATACAGTTGTAATAATTTTCCTTTGTCTCCATGAAGGGCTGTGCAAAACTCCCGTGCCTTTTGATATATCATAGTGGGCGGAGCAGGAAGCCAAGGGACCGATACAGATTAGCGCTACCGCTCAGTAAGCCACGGCAGTAGATTTGAAGTAAACTAGCCAGCAGTTCAGCATTGGACGTAGAGAAGCCAACATGGGAAAGCACTATGTAAAGAATCAAACAACAACAGACTTATGCACTCGTCTAGAACAGGACTCGCTTCGGTAGACCATACGAAAACAAAGTGAAATGGTTTCTCCTTGAGAGGAGCTATCAAAAACCAAAACCGGCGCCCAAATCGATTTGCACCCAAAAGCGCCCTAATTCTTGACTGAATACGAAACTCACAGGTCTTGTATAATACATGAGGATAGTGGCGAAGGGGCCAGTTCACTGCCTGTGACGACTCATGCACTGATATTGGGTGCGTGGATCAGCATGGAATCAGTTTGGTGGCTATCAATTCCAAGATACGAAGAGGTATGAACCTGCGGAGACTCATCAGCACCCGTGAATAGTTTGATCGCAGAAGAACTTCAGGGCTTCTTCCAGGTTACTGATGCGCATCTACTCTCTACATACTGGCACAAACAGCACAGAAGCAGTTGTCACCATGCATAACAGAGCAACATTGTACTGGTTATATTGTGCTGCTTTGTGGTGATGCTGTTCCTTCAAAGGTCCTTGATGACATTCACGTCAGACGGAATTCCGCACCCTTTCACCACCCATAATTAGGCACCACCACGGCCGGAAGCCTGTCACGAACGCGATTGGCTGTATGATTGGGCCGCTTGCTAGCGAGACCCAATGCCTGCTTTGATTGGCCGAAATTGTAAACCCTGCAGTTAAACGTATGCCGGGACCCTCCGAATACCCTTCTCCAACACCGCACTGAGAATACGTCGAAATTTCCAGAATGTTGTCACCCAATACGCTTTATGAGAGGCACTGTAGGTAGGATTTGACCTGTTTTCTGTGGTAAATACACGTTTCACACCAATGGTTATTGTATTGACAGGAGCTTTCACTGGGAGGGTTCAAACAAAGGACTTCCGCATTGCTCTTAATGCACTTCATTATGTGATAAAATATTCGGGTCCGCGGTGAATATATTTCTGAGCTAACCACCTAGGACTATCTTCATCCTCAACTCACCAAAAATTCAGTCACTCTGAAATTCTCAGAAGTGGAATAACTTCAGGCTACAATCTTGACAGCAAAATGCCACGGCACCCAAACCAAAAATGGCTTTGTGCTTGACTCACTGTTAAATAGCTTTCTCACAATACAACTGTGAATTAGATTAGGATGGATACGTGGTATGAGATCTAATATGAGGAAGAAAGAAATACATAAGTGCGAAAAATAGCAAACCTCGTAGGAGGAGCGCAAACAGATGCAGACTTGAGCACTAAGGGAAGGTAGGGAATCAAACGCCTTCAACGATTAGGTGCTTCTAGAAAAAGGGAGGGGTCATTTCAGCAACTTGTTGAACTAGCTTCTAAACGAGGCGGGACGGAAAATGACGTACCATCCAGTTGGAAGGCACAGGCCAACGAAAAAAACAAACGCGTGAACATTTTTTGTAACAGAATAAAGTAACAGCCGCTGCGTAATGAAGGTGAGAGTGTTTATATGTTACTTGTCGGCGAAGAGTATTGATGGGACACACACGGTTACGGTGAACATAATCAACGGGGAATGAATAGAAAGATAGGGTCCCATCCCAAACATAATGGAATCGCTCTAAGACGAGGCAAATTTAACTTTTATGGAGAATTTGGAAGTTAGCTGCATGTTCGAAAGGAACACCAGTCCTCGAGGTAGTTACAAACTCAGAGAGTATCCGCTGCCCACACATGGAGAAATGTGGAAACAAAATCGATTATTTGTCGGTACAGAACACAAATTACAAACTAATGTATATTTTATAGCGCCGAGTTATGTGTTACTAGGCCGCTAAAATGAAGAGGAAACTGAATATCAGTCTCTGTAGCCCACCTACTTTTCCGATTTGCAACGGCGAACCCCTACTGATACTTGGGACATCGCAAATTATGTTCATGCGCTAGTGACGAGTGGTTGCAGGGTCAGTGCATATTTTTGTTGTTGAATCACTTTGCTGGGTAAACAAAACAGGCGCTGGTAACCAAGTTAACGTGTGTCAACTAGCTAGTCCTGGGCAACTTGGAAGTATGATGGCCTTCCGTTTTCCTTCGGCGGCCTGGCAGCAGTGACACAAAAGGGGTTGGGTGGATAATTCTAGACGTCTTTCGAAACGTGGGGAAGCCTGATTTCTGCCAGAAATATTTTTCTTTTGGACACAACCTTTTTGACTTTCTGAAGCGATACACATCGACGTATTTTATTTGAAAAAAGGTCTGCTAGAAAGGATCTTCCAGGTCGTAAGCTGTGAAATTATCCAGTAATTCCATACAGTCATGATGAAGCCTAAATTTTTGTTTAGCCTCCTCTGTCCCAATCCACATGGTAATAACAAAAGTAAGTGTTTATTCTCCACTAGTGGGCGACATCCCGTCAGGCGTGATCAAAGTTTTACGGTGACTGGTGGGGTTTTGCGGGCAAAGGGAACTGCACGGAAAAGAAGCATGTCATAAACCGTGGACATCATCCGACGTAAAGTTTGAATTTGAAGGTAACGGGCAAAAAAACGATGAGAATCATGCCAGGCACATGACGAGAAAAGTGATAATTGCTGAAAAAAGGAACCAGAACAGCATAATCCAGTCGGTCAATTAGGACTAAAACCTGAAACCACCACTGAGGCCTCGTGGCCTTGGACTGTTGGGCCTATAATAACAATAATAATAATAATAATAGCAATAATAAGAAGGTTTATTCCCAACTTGTGGGCGGTATACTGTTAGGTATGATCAAAACGTTGCCGCCAGAATAAAAGCATAACTAGCAGGGATTGTGGGCACCCGGGGGCTTGGAAAAGGAACATTGCCATAGTTGGTGGGCTTTATCTGACGTACACGTGGTCACCACTAAATCCGCAAGGGCGAGGAAGCACGGTTACTATGCTTTTTTGAAAGGGAACATCGAGCAAGATCAGATCGTTAAGATTTGAACGTGGCGGATGAAAAGCAAAGCGAGTGAACGCAAAACAAGAGGTTTCCTGTCTGACATATGACAAGAAAGGTGTAATGGTGAAGGAAGAGGAACCAGAACATAAGATATGGTGCAGCAGCAGGGTTGGCGTCATCCGGTTGGTCATGTTGAACTGAAACCCATACCCACCGCTGAGGCCTCGTGGCCTTTGAATGTTGTGCACATGGCCAGGGTCACAAAAACCAGATCGAGCCGGGGACACAAAAATCCCAAGTGTATTTGATGAGGTGGAAGGACTGGCAATGCTGATAAAAGGTAACAAGAATATCAGAAACATGGTGTACAGTGTAAATATAGAGATTCACTGTTGTTTAGGATATAGTGGAGTTGTGTGTAACGGTTCCTTTGTAGTGTGAGTTGGCGACAAGAGACAGGCCAGAAAGCGGTCTGTACAAAAAACTATTAACTTTTTGGAGCGCACAGACTGAAAGTTCACCGAAACGGCTAAATTCGAGCGAAAGTTTCAGTAGACTTGAATAAAAGCATTTCGCAGGCGGCTTAGCCCAAGTGTAGAGTTTGTTCCAATTTGAAGTTAAACAAACGTGTGGGCGAAAGTTACGGTCAAGAGTACCAATGGAATGATTGAGGGTGTGCTATCAAACTGAGTTTGGCAAAGTGGTGTCATCATTGGTTTGAAATACATTGAATTTCCGACAGCCCCGTAATGGATGTCATATTTATTGTCATTGGGCTGGGATGTGCAATCCTTTAATCAGCAGATTTTTTTCAGGATGGCCAAAGTGAAGTATTCTTGAAGTTAGCTTGAGAAAAACATTACAAACTGCGCGAAACAAAAAGGACTTACTAACAATGGTTTCGCTGCTCCGTAACGTCAAACCGGGAGGACGCCATAGCACGCAAAATATAGTGCAACATCAGACTGATAGCCTTAGGTCGCGAATTGTTTAATTTTGTTCTACATTGACTCGAACGCCTGGCGGAATAGGCCCGTGAGAGCCGGCCTAGCTTTCATCTATGGAGTAGGCGTATAGGTCATACCACTTTTATCCAATCACTGAAAAGTTAGCGCCACTTTCAGCGACCAAAAATAGTCTTCCGAATATTTTCCTTCTCAGACAATACAGCGGTAATGCTGGTTTACATGGTCTTAACGATAAGCGTACAAGATGGAACACGACATTCCCGTCTGCCTGCTCAAGCAAGGCAAGATCGGCCTCGTCGGAGGGTCAAACTAGGTGGCATACACGTGCGTGTATGTAGTCAGCCAGATTCTAGAGAATGGAGAGTGAATCTATTCAGGACTTGTCAAATAACCAGCGTTTGCCTTAACTCTCATGCCATCCGAGAGGCCAATGACATGAAAGCATATATTAGTACATGTTAGCACAGCGGGGAGTCCTTTTATTTGCAGCAAAGGTGCTGAGTTCCCTTGAAACAAAATGACCTTCTCGGGAGTCGTCGAATACGCATAAGCTTCTGCCAGCTCTACTGATTGTTCTCAGACGAGACGAAACTATAAAACGTGGTACCGACGAGCCTCGTGATTTATTTGTTCCTCTCGCTCCGTAATATGCGCTTTTCCTAACCATCCCGTAAGTTCGGTTGTCGAGCCCCAACAAAGCACTTCTGAATATGCCCGGGAGTATAACCTCTTATGTTTGGTTGACCATAATCCACAGACACTTCAAGATATTCTCCACCATAAATGAAGGCGTTCTGCAATAAGCAAGAGTCTTTCGATGAAAAGCAGAAAACTTTTCAGTTTAATAAATTCGAAGCATTCCAAATTTGGGATGTTTCAGAGAGTTCAGTCCAGTATTGCCCGCATTTGCACTTGTGCGCTGGAAAGAAGTGTGACAGCGGATTCACACGGGTAAACAGCCTGGGAGTTGCGCAAATTAACAACAGCAAAAAGTATGCAAACACTTCGTCAAGGAGCTCACACTAATGTCCGAAGATGGCTTGATGCTCCGTAATGGTTGACAGCGTGGACTTGAAAAACGTCGAAAATCTTTGGTCAAGATCAAGTTTTATAAATGGTGACTAGGGTCTTGGGCGATGTCATCAAACATTCAAGGATAAAAAGTATAATGGGGCTGTTTTTGATCAACAGCGCTGAAACACGATCGCGTGCATCTGTCAGTATCGAAGTTAGGAGAGTCGAACACACTGAAGGTCTCTTAATTTCCTCAGCCCTGACACACATCCTCACTCACACAGAGCAACAAAACTAGTGAATAAAATTCAGGAGGGATAACTCGCTACATTGTCCTGGACAGAAAGAGCAGGGTACCGAAACCCATTTCAAACTAAGCATACTTCTTTTTAACCCATGTGTAGTAGCTAAGTAAGTGACAGGAAACTTCCAATATCATTTCACAGTGATAAACATGACTAGTCAAACGGCACCCTTTTGCTTGCTTCTCCGTCCACTTGGAAACTTATTCACCTGAACTGACGAAACTTTTGTTTCAAAAGCAAAAATTTGCCCGGTAATAAATCCAGAGACTTTATATCAAACGCCTTTTAAATGATACCTTTCCGAAGTTATTTCGCGAAGGCACACAAACTTTGGAATCGGGGAAAATAAGCTCATTCTTGACATATATAAAGCGGGAGGCGTCAGAGCATTACAACTGCGCATCTCTGGAATACCGGCACAGTTGACCCCGCGTCTAAATTCAAGTCAGTAAATCTAACAAATCAGAAATCTGGCTGTTGTTTTCGTCCACGATCCCTACAATAAAATGATTAGATGTAAAATGACGCAGGTTTGCGTTGAGCGATTAAGGCACGTGTGCTTATTACTGTTATATTAAAGGTGATGAGGTTGAAGCCGTTGGACACGAGCGTCCGACACATACAATTTAGTCTTCTGATGGATCGCCCTATTGACGCGCGTTCAGTCGAATTTAACAACTAACCAATTCATCAAAATGCGACATTTCGGAGTGAAAGGCTCTATTTTACTCGTCAAAGTTGTGCAGATAAGAGCATTGTGCGTCCTTTGATCGGCCGATTCCGCAGTGGTTTGAAGGCTCATTATGGTTGTAAAGTGAAATGTGTGTGATAAAGAGGTAGTTGTCCAATCCGTGGGTCCCCATAGAGAGAATTTAAGGTAACCTGTTCACAATTCGAGCACGCAAAAACTGATGCATGTACCACGCGCACAAGCCAACTTGTCTCCGAAAACTGTCTACAAATCTCGGGAAATGTTATTGTTTCGCTTCATATCCAAACCAATCTTTGTTGGTTTCTTCCACATTATTTGTTCCAGTTTAAGTGTGCAGGTTAAAACACCCATTTACAGTCAAAACCTGAATGCACCAGTGAGAATAAAACTACCTTGAGACAAATATCAAGCACTGCGATTTGAACAACCAGAACGAAAAAACTAACTGCAATTGAGTGGCAGTTCAAATTCAGGGAGCTGCAACGCATTTGAAACTCGACTGTATCTGCTTGCACGTCTCTCATATGACCTTATGTGTGCCCTTCTCTCTCTCCCTATTGCAGGTATCACGGACGAGCCACCACGAGCCCCGAGCAGGAAAGAGTAACCCTCTTGTATACCCCCCTGATTGACCTTGACCTGACTTTGGACCCCCGTCTTTCGGTTCCGGTTTTGGTTTAATACACGTTTGTCGTTGCCACGCTCCGGTGTTCTTTTCTGTCCCACCCAACCTGTGCGCATGTGTGCTGTCTATACCGTGTGGATTCATTAATACCAGTCCGTATATCTGCACATTTCAGAACCGACTTGTGCCGTCGATACATCCTCTCGGACGTCGAATACCGCTGACTTCCTGACGTCCCACGCTACAAAGCATTCATTTTCGAGCAGCGGCGATCACGCGCCTTGCGCCGCCATCCCCATTCTGATTGGCGTGAACATTTAAATTTGGAAACTGTGCGGGATGGAAGTTTATGACTGACCTTGTTGGACGTAGCATATAAATATAATAGGGTTGTTTGTGTTAAAATTTACATTGTTAACAGCTTTCCAAAAGTAATGGATGCGAATAATGTGCATTTCTGAGTAGTTTAACATTGCCTGCTTTAGGCAAGTGGAATCGTCAATGCTGTCCCTAAATCTAACTCTATCTCAAGCGGACGATGATTTTTGTGTGCAATTTCGCTAACACCAAAGCGAATACTTAGAATAGCTCAAAGTTAGCAGCTATTTTTACTGCTGTATTTTTACTGTCTTCACTCAGCGTCCATCAATATTTATGACACGGTTCGTCGTTCGATAGAATTGATTCGCATACATGTAATTATGTGTTATCCTAAGTGCACACCTCGAAAACCATTCTTCATGTGAATCGTGTTCGCTATACACAGGAGCCGGTATTGTCACTGACCGTCCTAACTCTCGTCCATATTAACGGAACCGTCGGTGCATCCTTCACAACCAGCTGAACAAAATTACCGTTTGCAGCTATGCCAGAGAAAGTTACCCATTTTCTATTTCTGGTAGTCCACTATTGAAGCGACGTTTTATGGGTGGATGAAGGGGGTATCAATCAGCTGAGAATGAGGGCAGCTATTGAAGTATGTAGTGATCGATTCCTGCTAGTTATGTCACGATTGTTGATGTGGAACCTTGCTAACTCAGTTTCGGCTGTTAAGCATTCTTCCCAGTCTTCGTCCATAGAGATCACCTGAACCCCTACCTTCAAAGAATCACCGCCCCCTCTTGCTTCCATAGCGCGCTTGTTACGTGTTTAACGAATACGCAAGGATGGCTTCCACGCATCGGCGGTTCTAAATGCCAAGTAGGAAACAACCAACGGGATAATACCCCAAGTCTACAGTGCGCTTGTATCCTGAGATCTTCGGTGCCCGGACTGGATAATTTCTGTTTTTGATGAAAGCGTAATGAAGTTTCGGCTTACAAGCAACATGCTTGAAGTGAAGCACCCCAGAAGCGCCTCGGTCACATGTAGGCCGCAAAGCGCCTGCATGCATTTCTAAACATATGCTGCGTTAACCACCGATCTTATGTTGACCCGGAGGCGCCGGACCACACTAAAGATATATACAAAAAGGGAGAATTGTGCCCCTTTTTCTGACCTATGTAGGTTTGATTTCAACTCAAGGCCTGGGTTTCTTGGTTGCCGTGAAGGTTGCGTTGTCAGGAAGTGTGAAGCCATTTGTTTGGAAAAATAAATATGCCATAACCGATTGCAAGCAAATTACAGAATCATCAAAAATTTGTTCCGCAGTTGTACCTGGAAAATAAATGGAAA